TGAGTTGTGCCATTACGACGAGACCATTGTACGACTCTTCCATTCATTGCATCGCAAATAATGAGCCTATTCATCTCTTTGTCGATCAATACATCCGTTGGACTATTTAGTTGATCGAATTCACTTCCTTTGCCATTGCCACCAGCTACTACTTGTCCATCGGTATCACCGATCTTCCATTGGATGATACGATGATTACCGTAGTCAGCAATGACCATAGTTTGATCATCATCAACAAAGAAACCTTGAGGTCGGAAGAGTTGGTTGGTAGCAGCGCCTTTTTCAATGCCTCCAGCAACAGTTACCCCATTCATTACCCAGCGGGCATCGACTGGAATGTTGGGAATCACTACAATGAACGAGAAAAAGAAAAGTCATTGCTGTCAAAGAGCCACCCTTTCTCTCGCGGAGGAAATTCCTACAAATGACACACTTTTCTTCTTTGTCTTCGACAGGAACTTGGTAAAACATTCGAGAATGTCCGTCTCGGAAGTAAAACTCAGACATAGTTCTCTATAAAGAAAGGAGGGTGTGGGTGTGAATGAAGGAAGATCTCCAACTAACTGTACCCACTCACACCCACACCTCCACCCTCAAGTGATAAGGTTCGCAGTTATGATAACTTACTTGATTGTTGTGTAGTGGTGGCTTCTTTTGCAGCTGATGTTCTACTTGTGGTCGGCTCATTATTACTGTTAACAAAGCTATTATCTTTGGTGGCGGTGATGATTGTTGACACGTCACTGCTCGAAATTAAACCAATAGTAACTGTCGTGCTAGCTTCTGATGTATTAGTAGAATTGATATTTGACTTTGAAACATTATCCATGGTTGCCGTCGTAGTTCGTACATTAATATCTGTAGCCAAGAATGCAGTTGTATTAGTATCGATTACTGGCGTTCTAGTTCCACTTGCCGAACTCAAAGCTAGAAGATATGTATCAAAACTGATGTGGAAATAAAACATAGTGCCAGTCCTTAAATTGAGCTAGAGTGAATATAGTCTTACAAATTTTATACCCATCTACTTCTCGATAACTAGATGTCTATATTCAAGTCAAAGTTTTATACCGCACTAGTAGTATGGAAAGTCGATAGAAGAACTTAGAAATTCTAATAGGTTTGGAATAGAAATTTTACTTGGACTGTTGGTAGAGTTTTTTGTCATTGTAAAGCCATGCATCTTTTTCGCACGACTCAAAGTAGTCACCAATGAAATAACGAGGATAACAACTAGAATGAATGCTACGATTATGAAAAATGAGAGACAGTGACGTCGCGTCCCACATAATGATCTTCTTTCGGATTCCCTAAAAACAATAAACAACAATTTAATATTAATATGTTTTTTTTTTCTATCACATAAAGAATGCCAAACTTACTGAAAATTTCGTAGATTATGAATGCCTGGTCTTGCAGAAGGCATTAGATTACTCTGCTGATCAAACGGAACAGTTTGCGCCATAGAAACCTATACAATGACAATGGTTCAATAGAATAGTAAAAAGATAAAATGACACGATAACCAGATTTTGATATTTATAAAAGAAAAAAACAATACGTGAATAATAAATTTTATTACGAACAGAAGGAAGAATGGATTTTCTAACAATGAACGTGCTTATTTTTTGAATTAATTGTATTTTACGCAGTTACTTGCAAATTTGGAATAAGATATTTAGACACGTTTGTTTACGCATTTTATCCTTTTTTATTCTAATGAAAACTATATGTGAAACAAGATCTAGTAAATCTGTTTTTTTTTGTATTGACAAAATAAAAGTGTTAGTCGATGACAACTACATACTAATAAAGCATCGCTGTCTGTTCTCTGATCCGAGAAAGACATGCTTTATAATATATTTTCATATTGTTCAATATTGTCTAATCGTCTTAGAATACATAAGAGTGTGGATGTGGGTGTTGGTGTTTTTGAATTTTGACGATTTACATATAATTTCGCTTGATCTTTGAACGTTATGCCAAGATTTTTCTACTTTACAAAATGGTCTTCTAGAAATGTAAACTTTATCGTAGCTATATCTTGGGATAAGAACAAAGAAAATATTTGAAACTTTCACCATTAAAACTATTCTCGTTAAGAGTTATCTCTGCTCAAGGTTTCAAGTCGAGATTCAAAAACCAGTTAAAAATGCCGTATTTCAGTACCAATAAATTATTAACCCGAACTCGTTTCAGTATATTCATACTTTATTAGTAACTACATGATGAATATAGTCTCACATTAAAAGCGATTGAACATTCCATTGTCTTCCCTTGTCAGCTGAATTGACATTTATCCAAAGACGAGTTCGTTTATCAAAGAGTGAGATCGATAACATATTATTTATTCATTCATAAAAAAATTCAAGAATATTTACTAAAAAGAAAACATATCCTTTCTTGTTGTCATCAGTTTATACTAATTACATTGTGAATTCTGAATCATTATGAGCGTAGATATTGGTAAAAAGGAAAGCGACATCCCAAAACCACATCCACGCATATACCCACATTTTATCGATATTTAAAGTACTTTTAAAAGTGGGTTTTGTTCACTTTTAATACACGGGTTGCACTACTTGGTTAATAAGTGGATCTCAATCTGTGTGGTATCATCTAACACACGACTGTCACTGCATAGGAAAATCAGGATAAATGACATCACACCTTTCGACAAGTACAGTAGTAGTTGAATAAACTATTCTATATAAAAGCGAATGGAAATAAGAATTCAATCTTTACAAGTAAATTATTGTAGAGAATCGATCTTAGTTATTTTCTGTAGATTAATTCCGTTTCAGAATTTATCTTTCAAAAAAAATCGATAGGAAAAATTATCTACGAAGAAAATTCACTCTGTAATGTTATTTTTTCTTGTCTCTTCGTATTTGCACATGTTTGTTGCCATGTTAAATTTATAAGAAAAAAACATCGACAGAGAAAAGAAAATTGAAAGCGAAAAGTCAATACTGAATACTTGAATGAATTCATGTTGAAGAAGAAAAAACAGACGTTGAGTAATAACAATGTGAAGAGAATGTACTTTCACAATCAATGATCAATATTGTGCGCAACATATATTTTATTTATTTTTTCATAACTTTCTTCATCAGTTAATATTCTTTTTGCAGAAAATGAATAATGAAAATGTATCTAGTCCTGTTGTTCTATCGGCAAACTACTCTGGTGGATGTGGAAATGAATCGTTCACAAATGGAGATCTTCTGAAGCTCACCGATCAACAAGCATGTATCATCTATGGACCAACGCTTTTTGCATTAAAGTATCGAGTTCTTCCGTGCACAGTTACTCAAAGTTCGTCAGGGTCTCAGAGTATCTATGATGATATTTATACTTACAATCTAGCTGGTCAATTTTCAGCTTACAGTAGAGGACAGCTATGGTCTGGAAAACGGAAACAAGGTGGCATGTATCATGGAACAAGGTTAGTTATTTACTTTTTCAAACTGTTTATAACAATAATTCGTTAACTATTATGTTTTTTCTTTTTTCAATAGTTGTTTACACTTTCTTATCAACGAATACAAAGCAGATCCAGACACGTTCATCTACGACTGGACATACGATACGTCTGATAAAAATTCTGTTATGTCGAAAACTTATGTAGACTTGGGAAATTATCTCTCTGGTAAAAATAAATACATTTATATTGAATTTCGTATTTTTTTAAACAAGTGTAAAACAACTTGTTGGTAGATCGATTCATGATTGATAATAGCATTAAACTCGATACAAGTTAATCTAATGAAATATTCTTTAGAAGATTTCGATTGATTGTATATAACCTAGAGAAAAAAATCTACTTTCTTTCGAATATATTTTTTTATTCAATAATTAATGAATGAACTTCACTTTATTAGAGAGACTTACGAACAAAAATGAATTATTAAAACTCGTTTGATGAATTCTTTTAAGAAAAAAAAGCAAAATACGTACATAAATAGTTTCATTGTTTTTTTTAGTGCAATTCAGTGGTGGTTGTATAAGTCCAACAAGTGTTGACAATCCGAATAATCTTGAAGCAGATCATGAAAATAAGGCTTTCAATTGTTTTGCTTCTTCTCAGGTAAAATTTCATTTGTAATTGATTATCTTCGATTGCTTTTCTTTTTCTCAATCAAATTTAATATGAGTGTAATCCATAAACTTTGTCATTTCGACATACTATAATCTTCGTTCATAGAATTAAATAGATTATAAAACTTCGTTAAATAAATCTATTTTTTATTTTCTTTGATGGATTATCATCGTTATTTTCAAGTATTATATATATACTTAGTTGATAAAGACTAGAAAAATGTATGAATATTTAGCAAATTTTATTCGGAAATATTCAATGAGTTCTCATAAAATTGTAAAAACATCGTCAAAGTTGAGGAGATACTTACAGTTATTTATTTGAAAACTATAAATACTCTTCTTCTTTAGAATTATTTCAAATTTACTATTTCTTTTATTGTTTCGATTTAAATATGGATAGATACTATATACGATTCAGAAAATTTTTCATAGAGTTACTCTTTCAGTTCGAAAAGCTTCACTCAATGTGATTCAATTGGCTACCCTTTACTATCATCGGGAACACTTCGAATCAATATACTTGACACAAAATCTTTTTTCTACAATTACTACAAATCAAGAATAATTCTTCGGGGGCTTCAAGAATGAAACAATGTCTTCAACAGTTGAGCTCGATGAAATTTTCAGTGGAGATATTTCTAAAGCTAGTTGTCTTACGCTACAAGTATCAGATCCATAAATTAATCTTACGAAGACTTCCATTAACAAGATTAATAAGAATGTATGTGTTCGTGCGTTCCCAATTTTATTACCATTTCAAATATTAGACAGCTCCTTTAATAAAGCATGAGGAAATCTTAAAATATCGAACTCATGATTACGTCAAATTTTGAAGTTCGAATATTCTCTTATGTATTATTATTAAAAATTAACAGTGAAGCTTGAAAGACTTTGAATGAAATATTTTTTTCTATATGAAAGTTCAGACAAACATTATGCACTATACCCTTTTGCTTTCATTACAAAATTGATAAGTTATGATACGTTCAATGTTATATACATTTTACACTATTTTACGAAGTGTAAGTCACAAAACGAATAGATTTGACGAAAATGGATTTTTCTTGCCGAGACCGAGACTGATTGATGCATATTCATTGTTTAGAAATAAAAATTTCTATCCATTTACTGTTCACTTCTACCTATCAGGATGATTGATATTTCTGCGGATGTTTGCATGAACTATAGACATGTTAGATTGTCTCATATACGAATCTCTTATAGAAACGATTAATATTGCGTAAAAACTTCAAATAATAAGATATTCGAAAATGTATCATTAGGAAAAAAAACATATGTTTGTATTCAGGTATTTCACGTACCACAAACAACAGAACGTGCGCGAATCTTATTACAACAATTGTCGAAATTTAAATTGTTTCCAGTAACAGAGGCTACGCTACAAATGGTTTGCCATGATACTCAACGTGGTTTCTACACATCATCAATACGTATGAAAAAACCTCACATAACTGATCTGAAAATTCATTATGGAGATGATTTTCCTGATATACATGCAGAACTACTTGAAGTGCTTCAAGAAAAAGATTCAACGGGCATTACGTTTCTGCATGGTCCACCTGGTACAGGAAAAACTTTTTATTTACGATATTTGATCAATGAAATTAAAGACAAAAATTTGATCTATGTTCCACCTGATCTCGTAAATGTAAGTCAATCGAGTTCTAAATTAATTTCCAGTTTGAATTCACTTTTTCTCGAGGAAGAAGTCGATTAGTAGATCTATTGATCTTATTAGATAAGAGAAAATTTTCATTCTTCAAATTATCAGAGAAAACTTGATTTCTAGTAGAATATATATTGGAAATGAGTTTTTTTTTAAAAGACTAATAAGCAATTGCCTTTGTTTACATTATCTTTAATCTAATCATCCTTTAACGAAATTCTTCTTTGTACAGTTAATCATAGTTTTGAAAGCAACTTAAGCATGTTTATCGATAAATGTGTTTATAAGTTGTATGGTTTTGTCAAAAATTCACAGATAACATGCAATGCTGATTAAACTAATGCTGTATTCATTTTAGGATATGACAAAGCCTGGTTTCTTGCCATTTCTCATGCGATATCCAAACTCAATTCTAATCGTAGAAGATGCTGAAAATATAATCCGTGATCGAAATCAAGAAACGTTTCTAGCCAATCAAGCTGTTGCCAATTTGTTAAATCTTTCCGATGGTCTACTTGGTGATGCTATGCATCAACAAATCATTTGCACATTCAATTGTGATGTTAGAAGTATTGATTCGGCTCTTCTGCGCGACGGAAGACTTGTCGTCGAACATAAATTTGATAAATTGAGTGTCGAAAATGCTCGTCGTTTGTGTTCAGAACTGGGCATACCTGGAAATGGCGAAGATATTCATGAATCAATATCATTAGCAGAGATTTATGCACGAAAAAATGAATCAGTAGAAGTTTTATCAAATAATCTTGAAAATGGACAGACCTCATCAAAAAATAAACGAACGTCTAAAAAGAATAAGAAGCAAACGTCAAATTCATTTTTTGGTTTCTACTCATAATTATTTTCTAGTTTTTTTTATTTAATGAAGCATAAAAAATAATAGATTATTTAAAATCATGTTAATCTACTGTTTGTTTTTAATAATAAAGTTATTTAAACGAGGGAAATATCTAACATGATATACGAGAATATTGGCAGTGAAGTCTTGCATTGGTTCTCAAAACTCGCACATTCAACGATAAAGTCGAACCGGAGAATAGTAATCATCTATTCATCTTGAGGCTGTGGGTGCCACTAATCCTACAGTCACACTATTACATAGAAGAATCGTAAATACAAGTCAAAAAGAACATTTTGCATGGAATTTTATTGGTGAACTTAAGGCTGCATTTGTGTGTATTATTTATGAGGTTTGGCTTTCAGAATCTAAATTAAATAGTTTTGAAAAGTTCCAGAAGGTAAGTCAAGGTAATTCATTCATAAACTTTGTTTTAACGTGTTTTTATTATTCTGACATATAGTTACTAAAACTTATCTGCGAAACACTACTGATAAAATATTTTAGTTGATAATAATTAGAGTGTGAGTGAGTCTGGGTCTGAGTCTGCAACGTCCACTAGTGCTCATATCCACAACCATACACTCTCGTAATTTCTATGTTATTTTATAAAAGTTTCATTTAAATTAAATCTTTCAAATCAGTGCATGTTAGGTAAAAGGGATCTATCTCTGGTTGATTTAATTTCACATGAAGACAAAACCTGTTCATCAAGGCCTCATATGTGGTAAGAGCTTATTTGTGAGAAGAATCATCGAATGTGCATAACCTTTTCGAAAAAAAAGGCATGGCAAGATAGCTGTTAGGTATGAACTCTCCCTTAGTCACAAGATTATTCATCGATGAAAATGACTGCTATTTTTTGCTGAGCTTTTCAGTTATCTAATTGTGAGAAATTATTTCTTTTATTAATCTACTTTATGTATCGTTAAATTAGCCTTGAAAGATGAGCAACTTTTGTCTTAGAATGAATGTTTTAACTAGTCAGCGAAAATGACTAGAGGTATGCAAAGTTGGCTCCAGTGGAAATAGATCAATCAATCCAATTGGCACCAAATCGATTCTTGAATAGAAACAAAAACTTGTATAGCTCTTCATGTGTTTTCAACTGTATCGTTCTACGCGTATCGATTGTCGAATAACTGACAGATCTCAAAGAAAGGACATTGAACTATCGATTCATGTGTTGTTTTTTAGGGTGTGAGTGGGTGTGGGGTGCAGGTGTGGGTGTGGGTGTGGGTGTGGGTTTTGGTGAAGGAAGGTCGGCACTCACACCCACACCCCCATACCCCACACACACGCACACTCCACATCCACACCCACACCCCACACCTACACCCCACATCCACATCCACATCCACACCCACCCACACCCACCCACACCCCACCCACACCCACCCACACCCCACCCACACCCACCCACACTCACACCCGCCCACACCCACACCCTTTTCATTGGATTAGCTACGATTAATGGAGGTGTAATCGAATGGTAAGTTTCAATCCTTTTTAATCGATAGAAATCCAAATTGATTTAAATCGGATGAAGTGATTTTCATCGGATTTGTCATGACTATCTCTGTTCTAATGGGATGTTAATCTTCAATCTATTTAAATCTTCTTAATCGATCTAAATTCGAATTGATTTAAATCGGATGAATTTATTTTCATTTGATTAACCACAAGTATCTCTGTTCTAAATCTTTAATCGATTTCAATC